AAGAGCTGACAGCTGAATTCAGCATCTTCTCCCACTGCTGCCAGCACAGTCTGCTGTGTTTGGATCACTGCTGTTAGAGCTGCATGGACATATGGATCAAGGTGTGAGGAATACTGAGTTTCCTGTTTGAGTTCAACTTACTGCCAAAGAAAGTCCAGTGTCGCCAGCTCTCACCATCATTCTCCCATTGTGTCAAGGTCCCTGGTCATTTGGCCCAGCATTTTGAGTTTGTTTTTCTTTGTCCTCAGTTAAGAATTTACTTATATATAATCGTTTATAATCGTGTAGTTATGTTTTTTGGATTATATGTTTGAGCTTTTACTTTCTTAGGAGGATATAATTATTTCCTTGAATTTTCAGTTTATCCTGCCCCACCTGTTTCCTGTATCTTGTTACATCACACGGTCTCCGTCTGTTAGATGTGTTCTCATGTTTTAGTAATTTCCTGTTTATTGTTTTATTTTTATCACTTTTCTGTGTGCATATATACACAATCAATACTAGCATTATGAGCACTGACAGATGAGGTGAATAACCACAAATATCCATTAATCATGTGCATCAGTAGCTGCTCTTGTAACAACTACTCTATTCTGCATTTGACACAAGTCAGGATTAAATGTGTGGTGCATAACTCTGTCTGCTTAAACAGACTCAGATTACAAACGTTCACACAATTTTACCAGGAACGCTTGGGAAACCATAGGTTTGTGCACATTTCAGCTTAGTCACCACTTAAATCACCCTGCCTAATCTTTAACATGTTCTGTATAATAACATGACTGATTATAACTTTAAGAAAACCATTAAGAGTTAGCGTTTGTGTATCAAACAATAACAACATTAAATGTAAAACAGGCAACAACAAAACAAAAACATCACAAATTTATAATTACATACCTTCAAAACATAACATTGAATCTGTTGCTGATATTGAGTTTGAAGCCACTGACAATTTTGTTCCAGTCAAAAGCTCTTATTCTGTTGGCTACAGAGCCAAAAAATGTTAATAATGTATGTATTACTTATTTAATGATATTATAATTATAGTATTTCAATATTAAAAATGTAATAATTAACCACACATAATTATTAGGAGGTACTGAGGTGATGCTATTTTTCTTCCACTAACCGCTACAGCACCCATAAGATCCTTTCTGGCACAGCCATGTGTGAGAATATGAATGTCTCGTCTCCAAAGCCAGAGAGCAAATGCACTTATCCACACGGGACAACAACCATGATTTGTTTTCAATGGTTTGCATTCTGGCAGTTGGAAAACTGGGTGTAGTAGTCACTCCTGTCCGACTTGAATTGTGTCAGATGAGAAAAACGCACAGTTAAAGACAGACTCACACACTCACTGTCTGATGACAAAGTAAATCATTCTGACACTTTTATTAAAGTCAAATTATATATTTTTTCTGCTTATACTCCAAGTATTTGCAGTAGTGATTATTACCTCAGTACTGTGGTTGGATGTTTTACCTTAACTATGGTGTGAGAATTAGATGTTCTTTAAAGGTTCAATGATCTTTATTTTTATCAAAGGCTAAAAAAAACTAGTCAAAATTACAAGTGTGATGATAAGCTTGGTATGTATCAATAGAGACACTGAGATATGTTAATAGGACTGGAGTATATTAATTATTCCCAGTATATCATGAGTGTGTATTTGCTTTAATTTGCAATTTAAATAAAACTACAATACAGTTAAAT